AAAGTCTTGTAATGCACGAACGCATAGATACTGTGGAATTATCGGAATTCAACAGTTCCAAAGCTCGATAATCATACAACACTGATTTTGCAAAGCAGATGAGCTTTTCCTGCCACGAAATATCGGATTTCGAAAAATTTTTGGGTATAGCCACAGGCGAGTACAAAAATTCACGATTTATACGAATTTGTTTCTGAAAGTTCATCAAATCGGGAAATGAAAACTCCTCTCAGAAAGAGGGAAAAGGCTGCATCGATAAATGCCCTAGTTTTTGTCACTCTATGCCCTGTGAGATTTTTCTAAACTAAATAATTTGTTGGCATCAGAAAAGTACTTCTGGTTATGTCGGAAACCCAGTTGGAAATCCCAAAAATATTGACATTGTAGCACTTTGTTTGCTCTATACAGCTATTAAGCAAACTCTTTCAGAAGTTGAAATGAAAAATGCCAAAAATTGACAAATTTGTGCATGGAATTATCATTTCTGCAATTACCTTAATGACAGAAGCAAATGCTCGCAAGGTTTGACTGCTGGAAAGAGGAAGAACAACTGCACCGAATATTTTTATCTGTTTGCTCATTTTTACCCCACGCGTTAATATGATAAATCGAAAAAAATCGGAAAGACTTTTGGAACGACCTAATACCTACGCAGTGCGCTTGTTCATTCAACTATCGCGATTTATTTTCGCACTTTAAGCGATCGCAGAGATGTCGGTGCGGGTGCGGTTCTCGGCTGCTCGCCCGGGAGTTGCCTACGTTCCTGGTGGGTCTGGCGAGGGAGCAGGAGGAGGGCTAGCGGCCGAAATCTTGGGTAAACCCATGCCTCCACTGCATAAAGAGGACAATTTTCGCATGGACGCACACACAGCAGCCAGCATTGGAGACGCAAATGTTATCCAGGTTTAAGACTACATGATTTTTTGAATTGATTAGGAAAAACCTGGTTTCAGGCGTTGTTAGCGAGCAAGCAGTTTGATCCGAATGAGAAGAACATGTCAGATTGGACTCCGCTACTGTACGCCGCTTACCTCGGCCACCATAACGTGTGTCAGGTGCTAATCGAAGCTGGAGCAAAGGTACGGTCTATTTTACACCTTTAAACTAGCAGATTGCTTCGGACTCCAGAGATTTTGAAGGAAATGAAAAGCAGGCCTTTTGAGTAGGTCTTTCAATTGGTGGTCCGCCTGATTTTTTCCCTTTTTGCAAAAAGATAAATTTTCTCGAAATCCGAAAGCCAAAGACATTTGTACTCTAGTGAAAAAACACTACATTTGCCTTGTATAGCCAATATGTCACATATAAGAATCTTTTAATGTCAATGTGATGGTGGGCTACTATGTGTGTTCCTGCAAAATTGGGCTCTAAAGCTCGATTGTTGAATTACGCACACTGTGAAATGAATCGAAATTATTGTGCGCAAGCGATCGCTTCACTATCACCATATATGGATCAGTGGCGGATCCAGGAGGGGGAGGGAAGGGGGTAAGAAAGCGGGGTTGTAGCAAGGTAAAAATATATAAAGGTTGTAGCAAAGCAAAAATGTGTAAATGACTTGTTCCTTTTGTGAACAATATAGAAAAGTTTTCAAAAGTCAATTGTCCCAAAGGTTCCTTTCGATGAAATTATTAGCGCGCAAGTTCCGGAAAATTCTTTGAAAGACGTACACCATGCCCATTCCGAAAAAATTTGTTCTCTCGAGAAGGATCTTTCGGATGCACTATTGTGGATCAGTCTGCGGTTTTGCAGAGCCTTTTTTTCAATCTTCACCGTGAATGGTGAAGTGCGTGAAACTGATAAGAGCCACTTTTGAATCTTCCCAGCTTCCGCGGTCGTAATAAAGTTTTATTTTCACAGTTGGACGATTGCAATCGCAGAGGTCAAACCGCATTGATGATGGCAGCCTCTTGCGGAAATTTGCAGGTTTATTTAGGTCTTTTTCGTTTCATCCTTAAATAGGGAACCCTGTCATTCTTGTGCAGGTAGTGCGCCTACTGCTCGAGCAAGGTGCCAGTGTGGATCGTTCGGATACCAGGGATCGTCAAGCTCTACACTATGCGAGTAGCTGTAGCCAAAATGCGGTTTGTCTATGTTTCGCAGTGAAAAGAAAGTAATACGCAAATTTTCGAGGTTGCTGACGCTCTTTTGCAAGCCGGAGCTGATCCTAACGCTGCCGACGTTGATGGAATGACACCCCTTCTTGAAGCTTGCGCTAGCGGTCACGAATTGACCACATCCTGCCTCCTTGAATTTGTCAGTTCTCTACATCTCTTTACTTTTTCCGCCTCCCATCGACGGCAGTTGAAATGTCGAAAAACTGGATGAGAACTAGGAGAAAGACGCGAACGTCCTTGTGGTTCATTGTTTGATTTTGCAGTCTCTTGCAGGTTCATCCAAGCAGAATTGGTGCATGATTTGGTAAAAGAACTGGTGTCCGGTTTCGTCATACCTTGTCGTACTGGGTTGCCAGAAATTCTTCTTTATGTCTCTTTCTTTGAGCACTGATTTTGAAGGAAAAATGTTCTTATAGACATTGCTTATACTATTAACATAAGGTTCTTCTCTCATTTTCCACAGCTAGTACTACTGCTCAGCTCTCGTTTCTAAGCAGCTCTTTGTAATTCGCAGTTTTTCACCTAAAAAATTAAGTGTACAATTTTATTTCAGTAAATTTCCGCGCATCCACAAGCAAAAGACGGAATTTTTTGAGACATGTGATTATGTTGATGATGATGTCATCTAAAGAGTTCTGCTGGATAATGCTCGTCAGAATATAACTTTCGAAAAATTTCAAATAAGAAACGTTCGGCTCAAGAGGCTTGTCTTTGTAGTCTTTATAAATCTCATAAAAAGCATAAGCACAACGATTACAAAACTTCCGCTCTGTTTAGCAAGCATTGCCATTGGAAAATGGAGAAGTTCTCTTAGTTTTTGC